TCTTCCTCAACGCTTTGCAAACTATCATTGAAGTCACTGCTCGTATGCTTGGTGCGGGTGGGGATGACGCTCGAGGTCTGACCCGTGGAGGACTTACAAAGATCTTTGGTGCGCGACAGCTCTCTCGCCGCAACACACAACACCGTAACACTGGCCCATCCCGAGCCAGCCAGTTGTCGACTGCCGCGATGTTGGACCTGGACGATGGTGGAAAGTCAGGATATGTCATGCCAAGTGGAAGGGTTCGTAGCGAGTCTGGTGCTAGTCTCGGCGGACTCATGAACCCTCGGCACAGAAGCAGCTCAGCCCTCGATAGCATCGACGTCTACTCCGGTATGCCGCATAACATAGACAGCAGCAGTTCATATATGCCTCACACACCTGGGGAGAGGAGTACATTTTCTTTCCTGCCATCGCCCAACGCTGCCCGCCATCATCCGACTCAATCAATGGATGCCGCCGACCCCTACTATCGACCACCCAGGAGACGACGCGAGGCAACGAATGGATCTATTCATTCAGAAGGACCTGACGCCTCGAGCCCCCCGGACATTAAAAGAATTAGCCAGTCAGGAGGCCTGGGTGACCCTGCAGACATGGGCGCGGATATTTCTCGAGGACCGACCCCGGCTCCTCCTCCTCCTGCTGGGTATTCTCAAGTCAGTATCCCTCCGAACCGACCCGACTATGCTACTCGCGAAGTGGACTTTTATTACGGTGTTCGGGGACCGGCTCTGAATTCCGATGGCCCTGGTCGCAAACTTGGAACAGGGCCTGCTGACCCTACGGGGCCTGTGGCTACCGCTTCGGGGTGGTTCAGAACTCTCCTTGGTGGCAAGACGAAGGAGAAGGGCAAGGGCTTCGAGGTTGTTAGAAGCTCACGGATGCCTCCAGCCATGATGGCCAGGAATGGTCAAGAGTCACCCCCCGAGGGCATTCCCGTGGCTATGGGCGTGTTACGAAACGGACCTATCGACTCTGATGATGAAGATGAGCCTCAGCCAAGGCGGTCACCTGGCCGCCAGCCACAGAGTGCTCTTCTTGACGACAATGGCGATCCTCAGGACTCTGAACCGGACAGCCCCGTGTTGGAGCGACCGCAGCGTACATTCAGTGTTGGCAGCGAGAGTGTCCCAAGAGAGCCGAGCAGGTCTTTGTCCAAGGCACCACATATTGCATTGCGCGAGGCTGAGGATGACGATGCCCCGGAAATCCCTCGCAAGAGCTCTAAGCGTGCGTCAGGCCACTTCGCAGGTAGCAGTGACCACAGCCACAGCCGGGCACCGTCCCTCAACCTGATGAATATGCCTGGCTCAACAATATCTTTCGATTCACAGTGGCGAGATGCTGATGCGGTAAGCCGTGTATCGAGTCACCATCGAGCTACATTATCAGGGTCCTCTCGGCTACCGTTTGAACGGACGAACTCCCAAAAACGGTTATCGTCCAACTCATCTATAGAGTTCCCAGGCGAATTCTCGCAGATTGATTTCGGCCCATCAATCGACGAGCGACCGGCCAGTTTTGGCATGGTGTCGCAACATGGTGTCAGCCGAGTTGACCCGTTACACCGTGATGTGGATTTGCTCGGCAGCTCTGCTGAGCTTGTCGAAGATCCTCCCGCGAGACCTCGCACTTGATCTTGTCGTGTTGATCGGTGTCACAACAAATGATTTGCTGTTTCCCAACGCGATTGCCCGCCATGACATGCTCTCTATAAACACAACCATCACCTACTACACCCTTTACGGGTTACATCTTAATATTATTTTCTTTTTGTTTGGTTACCCTCAGGGTTAAACGCTATCTATATGATCTATAGATCAAGGTCCATAAGGATTTTGCACATGAGCACACATGCTCTCACCTTTCTCCTTTTCTCTCTCTTTTTGGTTACGGATCATACACATTCAATCACAGCCGTGGAGACTTGCGGAGGAACACAAGCTACGAAAGTACAAGCGAAAGGACAGGCGTTTTACGTGAATTTCGTGGCATATTTGCTCTAACTGGGACCTATTCATCTTCTTTTCTTTGTGTCTTTGGGATTTGTATTTTTTGAGAATGTCCATACTAGCGTTGGCGTAACAAAAAAGCTGGTCCGAGGAGTGGATTTACACATGGGGCGGTCGATATGGAAGCTCATTCATGTGGTCTACTCACTGGTTTTGTAGTAGATTATGTGGGAAATGAGTGTGGTTGGCATATATAATTTTGTAAGGGGGAAATATCTTGTCAATTTGGGTGTGCCCACTGACACGATGGAACAAGAACCAGGGTTTATCTGACAAAATCCTAATGAGAAGTTGTAATGATCCTTATCTACACTATGGGTTTTCTTTGACATGTGTTTGTTCTACATATATCTTCATTGGATCAAGCGACATCCTTTTCTACGCTTCTTCTCTGCAATGGTATACTGTCTACGTTAAAGTCTCGCTATGTCAACTTGGCTCGTGCATCATCATCATCATTTCACTGTGATAAAACCAATGCCTGACCGGGCCCTTCTTGCCGCTTCCTTCAGCTCTTGATCCTCAACGTCAGTCCATTTGACGCTGAGGTCGTTCCAGTTCTTGCCGGGGGTATTGTACTCCTTGCGCCACTGCGCGTGCACCTTCTGCATGCGAGACATTTCGCGCGGGTCGCCCGAGCCGCTGTACAGCATGAAGGCTGTGCAGGGCGGCAAAGCATCATAGATGCGTTGAATGCGCTCTGTGAAACGGACCAACGCCTGCTCGAGCTGAGATTTGTCTGAAGGTTCCTCGGACTCTTCGGGGGGACCGCCATCGCTGTTCGTGTTTTCGACACGGTTGCGGTTCCACCAGCCTTGAAGGGCCTCAAGCTCACGCATTCTCGCCCAAACAAAGTCGACGCCGCCGCCACGGATTTCGAGGCCGTCTGGGTCTCCTTGCACAGCACGGATTACGTTTTTGGTCACATCCTCGTCGTTCTTGCAGCCGAGCTGATATGTCGCGCCAGCCCCTGCGCCCTTGGATGGGTCGCCCCAATCAATAGCGGCACTTGTCTTGCCCACTTCAAGGCCTCCCGCAGCGCCCCCTTGAGCCTTGTATGCGGTCCCAGCCCGTGCAAGACGACGAAACAGATTCTCTCCCTGGGAGTCAGATGTACCCCAGGCTTTTCCCTTTTCGCATTTTTGCTTAACAAGATCGAGGCATGTTTTGGCGTCCTCAATGCTGTCATGGCCACTTGCGCCGCCTTTTTGAATCTCCTTGGACAAGTATTTTTGGGCGAGCCATTTCAAAGAGGACTTTAGTGGGGGTCCGCGAGGATGAGGGTAGATAATGGAGGTGTCTATGATGAAAGGATGAGAGATGCGAAGAGCCTTGGTGTCTGACTCTAGAGAATGTCCTATTAAGATTGTGCGGGGGGTCAACAACTCGAGCAGCTTCTGCTGAATATCATGTAGTGTAGTCGTGACAGGTGCGAGCATCTCTTCTGTGATGCCCGAGAATTGGGTAACGTAGTCGATAATGGGCTTATCAGGCTTGACAAGCTCGTCGAGTACCACATTGCCGACCCAGTCGACTATACTGATTCGCGTCAAAGAGAACTCGTTTTCCCCAGTCATACACATTTCGCAATCCAGGGCCAAGACGTCTCGTCCTGCCGTGATACTACCCTTTTGAATCTCATCCGCAGGGGGTTCTCCATCTTCAAGCTTGTCTACATTCGTGATGACCCAGCCAGGAGGGAGGACGAACTGGTCTTTGGCGGTACCTTCTAACATAGCTGGATGAACCAGATAGCCGTTGTCACTCAAGTCATCGACAGTGCAGAGAAATTCGGTGATGAGCGTCCTCTCATTCTTCCACCCTTGGGGTTCGGATGCTGGCTTGGGACCCTTCGTCTGCCCGTTCTTTTCCTTAGGAGCCGGGGCAGTCAGGAAGGCAGCCAGGGGTGAATGCATTTTCCCATGACGGTCATCGCCTGGGGTCTTGACAGGCCACAAATGCGTAAACATTTTGGCGAAAGGCTGTAGTGCTTTTGGTAGACGGTCTTCCTTCAACACCCTGGGATAATAGTCGTCGGGCGATGTGGCGATAGTGTTGTCTCCCGTTGCAGTATCATTGTATGTGTCGAAATCGACAGTGTGCTTGAACATGGCTTCCTCGACACCGGGTATCATTATAGCTACAATCTTTCGAAAGGCAGGACGATGGGTAACGCCAACCCATTGGGGACCAGAACCGTCGGCGAAGATATAAGTTACCAGATCTCGTAGCTGGGTAATGTTGACCTTTGATTGGAGTCGCGCGTTGGGTGAAAAGGTAATCGTGGGATAGTTCTTGCCTGGCTTGGGGATCTTTTTAAGCTTCTTAGAAGCTCGCGAAACTACCTGCCATTCTCCTTGGTCGTCATCCTCATGAGGCTTGGAGCGCTTGAGACTGCTATCGCTTTGTGTTGAAGTAGAAGTCTCAAGTTTTGCGACCGCGGTTGTCACAGGTACACCCTCGTCGAGCCTTTCTGGTTGCTGAACCGCATCTTGGTGCTCGTTGGGGGAGGACTTTTCGGCAATCTCAAGGACAGGGTCGGCTCCTAGGACGGTAAGGGTTTTGTCGACGATTTGCGCGGCTTTTCTCTTTGATTTCTTACCCATGGTGAGTTTGTGCGAGCGCAGATAGTGCGCCGCTAAAAATATAGACGTAGAAAGATTGACGTCGTGAGATTACGAAGTTGCAAGGAAGTAAAAATCATTGACGATCCAAGTCAAGAATGCAGAAAGCATTTGCCATGCAAAAAGGTACGTACCATTTAAGCTGGAGCGGGTAGGGATGGACCTATGCCAGCGGAAAGTGGGGGGTAAGGAAGCCTGGAATCACTGCAAGATCGACCAATAGCAGTGTTGACATGCTTCCATACCAGTGACGACAGTGTACAACAGTATACAATACCTTGGTAAGTTGGTCACTCCATACTCTATAGATATTCGCTTTATGAAATCCAAAAATGAAAATTTGTATCCATATCCATTCCTCTCACTGTCTAAAATCCATCTCGAGTACCTCCAATCCCAGGTTAGCTAGGGCGTCAACTTGCTTCACCACAGCGTATTCAAAAAAGGCACGCGCTTGATCAGCTTCCGAGTCCTCTCTCCAAGCAGTAATCAGTGATAGCTCTTGCTCTCTACCTGGCAGTTGGTCTATCTCATCCAACATCTGCTTTGCAGTGATCGAGACCTCCCATTCTTGCACGTAGCTCTTGGGAACCGACTTGAGAATCATGATGAGCAACATCTGGCACAGCGACACTTGGTCGATATCTTGAAGCGTCTGCAGAGCCCTTTGTTTGAAGTTTCCTTTGATCGCTACCGCTTGGGAGCTTCCAAGGGAGGCAGTGTCTGCTGCAGTGTTGGCTAGAAGTTTAGCAACGAGTAAAAGACCCTTGATGCGGACCGGGTGGTATGGCAGAATATGCCGATAGGAGTCGCAGGAAGTTGTGATGAAGCATGCCGTAACCAAAGCATATGCAAAGTTGCCTTGATCGGCGTACAGGATCGATATCTCCGACAACAGTTGTGGGAGTGGTGATACCGCCCACATGTCTTCGGCGGCCAATTCTTTACATCGTTGGTAGTGTTTCCGTAGAGATGCGCGGCGAGTTTCCAATGAGCCACTTGAATCTTTCTCTTCCAGCAGCTCAGAAAGTTCCTGGCTGTGTCTTCTCGCCGCAGAAACTTTGTTTGGGTCTGTTGCGCCAGGATGTCGACCAAGTTTACCAACATCCGCGACAAGACTATGACGATTCAAGTCGATGATAGGTGAGTCGGCGCATACTTGGTACACGTTGAGGTCTCTTTCGCACCTCAGACACTTACAGTCAAAGAAGTATGGTGCAAGTGCCTGTTTTCGCTTTGACAGAGGGAACGTGTAGTCTGGTTGTCTGTTAGTAGAGGATCAACAGATCTGAGGCTTAAAGACGCACCTGTGTAAGAGATTTCGATCTCATCGTCGATCTTGATAGGTTTCTCCGCCCTCAACACAGCCTTCCTGCCGATAAACTGCACCATGGCATTTGGGATACAGGAGTGGTTTGCCATGGCGAGCTTTGGCCCTAGAAAGATGCCGACTTGACCCAGGTCGGTGTCATATCTGTGAAAGGCGTTTGTTTGGATCTATGTGGCATTAGCATATGGTCGTGGACAGCAGTCAATTTCATACTTACTTTGCAGAGAAAATCCAGTGCCTTTTGAACCTCCTCCTGACCTGTCCCCAACCCAGCAAAGGCACTCGCGCCCATAGCCATCATCTCCATGTCCGCCCATTTCTCACTGTTCCTCCAAGACGCGGCATTACCCTCCAGGTCCTCTATCGAACTACCAATCTCTGGCTTGACCAGCGCTTGGATGACTGCACGTATGGGCGTTGGTAGTCCCGGGCGCCCTTGTTCCGTGACCTTGCGCAGAACCTTACACTCTTTGGAGTGGACAGTCGTCCAATTTGCCGCTTGACAAGCAGCACCACAGTAGAACACAGCGTGGCATCTGGAACATGCACGCACTTCTGCTTGTTTAAAGCAATGGCTGCAGATGGTATTTATGTGAGAAAGCGAGGGGATGAGAATCGTGGGTGTAAATGGGAGGATAACATCGCCTGGAGCAAAGGTTTTGGTGGAGAAGATGCCACGACCTTTGTGATGAGATTTTACTTGAAAAGGTGCTGATTGATCCATTTCGACAAAGACGAGGAATTGAAATTAAGTCTGTTGAGGGAAACTGATTTTTCAAGAAGTGACCGATACGTGATATTGGTGCTGTTGTGTGTAAGTGGGATGGTCGGTCTACGGCCAAGTCTATGCAAATGAAATTCTTTGCTTGCTGAGCCATTCATTGATCGCCCTGCGGGGGGCCAACAATTCACCCATGACATCCACAACCAATTTAAACCACAGATATATATAAGACACACCAATTGTTAGATACTTTACCAAGAAAACAACATATTATCTATTCTAGATAGACCTGAATTCGCGTGTTCTACAGTTCAGGTCGAGGCGGAACTTTGCCGCTCTTCCTCAACGCCGTAAGCCGGTCATGTAAGTCCCGGCTCCAGTGGCTTCTATCCCTCTTGTTCTCCTTCAAGATTCTCGCAACATGGTAATCCCAGCACCCCTCTTCGGTGCTTGTCTCATACAATCGGCACTTGGCATCGCTGGCTCGCTCTGTGCGAGGCCACTGACCAAGCTTGGCGCCCATATCCTCGTCCAGAAATGTATCGAGGACCAGCTGTCCAACTTTGCGCTGAGTCGTACCCCATTCGCCACCTTCGGGTACAAGGACTTCGAGAAGGAGCCTCATGCCGTCGTTCTTGAGGAACTCTGCGCGTATGATGTCGCTCTTCATGAGACCGTTGATGGCCCCAACCTTGGCTTTCGCCGTGGAAGCCAGTGTCCTAGTGTCGATAGAGGATGGAACATGAGAAGGTACGAGAGATGAGTAGAGAGATTCCTTAAGAGACTTGCTGCTAGCAGGGCACTTGGCCTCCATCAGACCGGACCACTGCTTCGTGACTTCTTTCAGGGCCGCTGCGTTGTTCTGTAGAGAGGCTCCTAGAATAGCGGCTGCTTGGTGATCACGGGGTGTAACATCTGCGGGAGTGGTGGTCTCGGAATCGCCCATCATGCAGAACAGTGCCTTCAAGACTTCTGCGTCTTCTGTGACTTTGAGACCGTAGTAAATGTCATGAGACAGCTCCTCCATTCCTTCGAGCGCGTTATCAAGCTCATTACCTTCACCTGCCTCGCCAGCCTTCAACATCTTCATGGCTGTGAAAAAAGGCTTGCCAACAAATTCTTCGTCTTCAGGCTCCTTGATTTTGCCAATAGGCTCATAAGCCGGGGCGCCTTTGGGAATTTGGGGATCCTCCTGTTGCTGCTGGTCCACAACGATAACTGCCTGATCAACAGGGAGCCCCTCGAGGGCAGGGTTTCCCTCATCAGGGACGTTGATCTTGGCCTCCTTCTTACCGTTGGACATGTTCAGACGAACGTGGAGTCCATGAGGAAGTTCTTGGTCATCGTGAACAATCTGGAACTCATCTGTTGGTTGGAAAATTTTAGGGTAACAGTCCTTGGGATTGTCTGTGTGGCAGATGAGTTCTACATCTGCGCTAGGAGAAGGTTCCGAGGGTGAAGATGAGGCGAGTGTCGGCGCTGCAAAGATGCAGAAAACGATGCTCAAGACCAGGGCGACAATGAAGGGCAATGATTTTGCCCTAGAAGGAGCCATGATGCGAATGTTATGGAGAAGAGGTGTCTGTGAAGATGTAAAGTTTTGGAAGGGCGAGGAGTTCAAATAGTCTCGACCAGGGAGAGTTTGTCTGGGTCCAACTCCCCGTTATTTGTAGGTATTGAAAGGGATTGTTCTGTAGTTAGAAGGCGGCAGAAAGTCCCAAGGGTAAAGTAAAGAGAGGTAGATGGAAGCAAGTGGGTATCAAGGGAATGCAAGACAAAAGAGGTAAACTTTGACAATAGAGAGAAGTATGATAAAGTCGAATGAAGAATGACAGACAATTCTATCTATTATATGTTGTCTACAAACTTCAAGATATGAGTCAGTCGAGCAAAAGGACACTTCACTTGTTTGATCATGAAATCGAAGTCACTAGAAATAGCAACTTGTCAAGAATAGATGGATCCGCCAATTTAGTAGTTTAGGTACTGATTTACAGCGCTCGTGCCACCATAGAAAAGAAAAGAGTTTTGGCAATTTGTGATTGGTTCGGGGTGTTGAGTTCGCTTAGTCATAATTGTATAGATGGCCACGATATGAATTGTGAAAACACATCAACTATAACCATGTTGGTAAGTCTTAATTGGAATATTTACTGGCAATAAGGTCATTCGGAGCGTGGTTATCGACCATGTCTTACCCATACTCGGAATTCATACCAGCCTTCCCTCTTCCACGAGGGCTAATCAACGTTGACGATGTTTTCAACGGTCAGAATGATGAGCCAACATGAGTTATTGAAACATGACCCGATACTTGGTTACAATTAGAATGGTTCATGTGACGGATGGAGAATAAGTCGAAGGGGCTGTACTCACTACAATTAGCTCATTCTCGCAATCAGCTCTAGTAGGCGATTGTCTCAGCGCGGCCCACGACCCTGTAAATTCCTTGCAAAGGGTCTTGAGGAGGCTGAATGCGGTAGTTGAAGCAATGGCAATAGTTAAATCACTCGTCATAAAGTCTTATAAGATGCAAGGAGTGAATGACCCAAGAAGATATATAAGAGTCGGCAACATGGCAGGCTCTTGGAAGGTAGACAAGAGATATTCAAAGCATTTATCTCCAGTACTTCTCCAATACATCCAAACGTACATACATTTCAAGATGTTGTGTTCTAAGCTTTCTTACTCTTTAACCTTCTTCTTCTGGTCCATTACTCTCGAAGCTGCACCGGCAATGGATCATCATCACCATCACCATCGCCATGGCAATCATCACCTTCAAAGCCTCCATGCCGAGAGAGCAGCACTTCTTCACCGAACGAGATCACATTCGCATTCTCATCATGAATCCCCCCAAATTGTGGTCCAAGAGTTGCAGCAGCCCAGTGAGAGTCTACCAGCCCTGGTGGCACCTTACCAAGAACTGGATGGCCATTCCGTGGAGAGGTTGACAGTATAGACAATGGTGAGTAGTTATGATGTCGTTCTACCCGGCCAGTCTTATTAACTTATCAATAGCAAGATATGGGTAGCTGCAGGGGAGCTAATAAGAGCTGGCTCCCCTAGCCTAGAGGAATTTGTATTAGATGCTGGACTGTTTAATACTGATTCGAGGAGGGATCTGGCGCTGTATATTGCTCATAATTTTTTTATTGATATGTTCTTATTTGTATAAACTATTTAATTTAATTTTGTGTTATATTGATGTGCATCGAGATACACAGTCATGGTGACATGTTAAACCATCTTATCTCCTTATAGTCACTCTGATTGGCTCCAATGACCTACCTAAACACTCCACTGGAATTGGAGGAGCTGCCGGCTCTCCCTTCAGTCTGGTCTGTCCCTGTCCCTTTAGCTGGCAAGACTGGTCTCTTCTTTTGCTCTCCATCAAATCGCCCTCGGTTCAACGCCCCGGCCGACCGATACGATACCCTTTCTTACTGTCCTTTCCGTTCTTTCCATTCTTTCGACTGTCATTGAAACCCGCCAAACTCGATCTAAATCCGTCGCGCGACCTCAAGAGCTCTACGTTAGGCCAGAGCAGAGCTCGCTCTTTAGCGCATCCACCCTGGTCCTGTCCTGTGAACGATCTTCGTTCCCATCCCACCCGCGATGCCTTCTCCACGCCGAGTACGCCTACTGATCCTGGCGACAATCGGCACCTTCATCTTCATTCTATTCTACACCTCTGGTTTTGACGGTCACCACGATGCTGAAACATCCACCGGCCAAGAATTTATCAAGAAGACCCAAAATGCCATGAGCGCAAACGAGATGCCTGCTCCCATCGTGGACTTTGCCACTGGCGAGAAGGCTGGATCAACACACAACGACAAGGACGGGGACGGTGATATCGATGAGGAGGACAAAAAGATGGCCGCGGAGATGCAGCAACGTCTCAAGGCTGCTGAGGCGGAGGCCAAGGGCAAGGCGAACGAGAAGGGTGGTCTGCGACCAGACCCCCCTAAGAAAGTCGTGGGCGTCGGAAGTTCTGCCGAGGGACAGAACAAGGACAAGATTCCCAATCCAGCAGCTGGAGAGCAGGGTGCTGCCGCCGTTGCTCCTGGTGGTGCTGGTGCTGGTGCTGCTGCCGCTGACAAGAAGCCTGTAGCAGAGACAAGGACCAAGGAGGAACTTGAGGCTCGCGCAGAGCTTGATTCTATCCTCAAGAAGTCACCTGGTACGTTAAAAACAAGCAGCGAATAACAAGCACAGCTTACTGATCACTCTATAGTTATCATCTTCTCCAAGGCCTACTGTCCCTTCTCGAAACGAGCCAAAGCCATCTTGATTGAAAAGTACTCCATCACTCCCGAGCCCTACATTGTCGAACTTGACGTTCACCCTCAAGGCTCAGCCCTACAGGACCAATTGCTCGAAACAACCAAACGAAGGACTGTTCCCAATATCATGGTCAACGGTGTGAGCCTGGGTGGTGCCGACGACATATCCGAGATGGACCATGCAGGCAATCTCGTAGGCAAGATTGTCGACCTCGGAAACAAGCGCGTCGAGGTTACGGTACGAACCAAGTAATTCAGCGCATACGCAGCGCATTCTCTTTTCTTTTTCTTCTTTACCTACTCCTTCATGGCCTGTTTGGTCCGCATCGGGCTTCTGTATGAGGATCTACTACAGGGTTGGGTACGGACGGGCTATCGTTCGGGGCTTTTGACAACGCAATTGGAGTTTGGGCGCTTGGGAATTCCTTTCGTTTTGTGTCGTTAAGAAGGGGCATAGGCTACTGGTGATTCTCCGATTAACATGGCGGAAAGGTCGACGATGTTAATATACACTATAGTTAAGCTAATGATTGTCAGATATATATACCTCTATACGCACAGACTGGCACTATTAATCTTCTGCCGTATAAACCATAATTGTAAAAGCAAAAGGCGGATTGAATTCGATATATACCATTCGACATTCGAAAGATACATCACGCTCACATACGGCAAGCCAAACATGGAGTAGATAACACATAAACTTGGCTGCCACCAGCCGAGGTAGCATTCGCAGTCAGTTGGCATATGATTTTCCTAATTGGCCAGGCACCATAACGATAGTATCATGACTACGGAGTACTAGTCTTAGTCAACTCCTCACAAGAGGCTAGCCTGCCTATTTTGTACTATACATGCATCGTCTGTTAATAACCCTCTCCAAGTTCAACCTGCCTTGATTGCATCGAACCTTATCATTATTAAACAGCTAAGAGCCCAATGCCACGATGGAGCACGCAAATGATAAATATGGGGTTGTCTTCGTCGCAGAGCTGCTGGAGTTGATTCTCTTGCACCTTGACATGAAAACACTCCTCGTCTCTGCATCCCGTGTATGTCGTTACTGGGCCACGACGATAGCAGGCTCACCGAGGATTCAGCAAGCGCTGTTCTTCCAACCTCTGCCTCCAGCTGAGACTGAACGACCCGAGTCATTTACACTCAATCCATTGCTAGTTGAGAAGTTTGGGAGGTGCTTCTTCGATATCGACCGCAAGCATACATACCTTCGAAGAGCAGATTCGTTTCTTCGACTACCCTGGGCTCCCGAGGGCGCGATTGCAAAACAGGGCACAGCGGGAAGTTTGACATTGGAAAAGTCGAAAAGTCTTGAGAGCTTGACTAGGGGCAATTCCAGCTGGCGACGGATGCTTGTATCTCAACCGCCGCCGCCATCTTTGGGATACTTGCGGCTCGACGTCGTTGACATCTGGTTCCATGAAGTCTACACTACACAAATCAACCCAAGGCCTCCTCTCAAGGGCCTCACTATGGGTCAGTTGTACGACATGGTGCACAGCACGATTTGTGACAGGGAAAACTACACCACATGGTACCGAGTGAGCTGGGACAAAGCGCGTGAATTGCATCAGATGGAAGTATGCAAGGAGAAGGTCTCGCGGCTTTTGGAAGAAACGAACGTGGTGGTTGAGTTTTACAGACAGGGCGAGGATGATCACGATTATGATTGCGGGCCATGGGACATTATCAGTGTGAGGGAGGCATTTAGAAGTGAGGGTTGTGCTGATAGCAAGATTGAGGGTTTGACAGAGGGTGAGTTACAGGAGTTCCAGCCACTGCATTTGGATGTTTCGACGCCGATTTGGTACCATACGGTGGAGGATGATTCGACTGTCGATGCGGAGAGTTGTGGATATGGCTACTTATGATGATAGATGGCCATATCATTAGGCTATCGAGAATGGGAGGGTTACATCGGTTTGGCAAGGCTCATGGAGCAGATAACATAATACGATAAGGAAAAGATACCTCTGCTCTGTGAGCCTCGGTACGATTGAGAACCAGAGTAGGTACTTTGATGTTCGATTGTTATTGACATTTGGATATTATTATGATTATGACGATCTGAGAGATAAGTGGAACATGTTAAATAAGGTTAATTGGAAAGCGGGCGCATCTTCTGCACTTATTACAGGCCTTGATAACGCGGGGTTACCACTAACATCACCACCTACATAAAAATTTAGGCCCAACTCAGACCCAGAGCTGAAAAAGAGGTGCATGCCTCTAAAGAGATAGAGCAGCAATCCATTCATATAGGGACTGCTCTCGCCCTTTTTCCCCCTCCCGTCTCTCATCTTTACTACATTTTCCATCCATAAACCATCTATATCTAAAATCATCATCTACAACAATAAAATACAATGGAACGTCCTACCTCGAGCTCAGACACGGCCTCTATCCTCTCAGGATCAACCGTCTTCTCCAAAGAAGCCCACGTCTCAATCTCAGACTCACCGACAAAAGCCGAAATAGACACCTCGACGACCAACGATTCAACGCAACAACGCAAGAGCATGCGACAAAGAGTCCGCAACGTTGTCGCTGATCTCGGACGTCCACCGACTACAAGAGATGATTTGAAGAGCGGCAATGCGACGCAGAAGCATGTCGATGTTGGGCCTGCTTCCGGTACGGTTCTAATGGGTTCTACGACTGTCTAAGGGGGAAATCAGATGGCCTGGAGTTTGGATTATGTACCAATCATGATAATGCAATGTGATACCTTTATTTTATTTTAATTTACTTTACTTGGTACTGCGCTGGTGATACGAGGCGAATATTTGCTTTCGTACATGGTATCACTGTGCTCTATGTCCATTATTCTTCATCGTCTCACATCAGACCACCTCGACTGTTGTGTCTTCAACTTGTGCTCCAAGTCAATAGAAGTTTCTATTCTGTCCCTCCCCTTCTCTGAATCAAGAAGCCTTTATTTGTAAATTCTCCTTTTGTAGAAGTTATGAGATCATATGCAGTCGGGTGGGGCCAAGTCCATAAATATTCCACGGAGCTCCGTATGACAAATCTCGAAATTGTTAATAATAAGGACATGAATTATACCAGAATGTATTTCTGTATACAGGCTTCAAATGGTAATCTAGAAAACATATATATAGGCCTGTTTGATGACTGAATGTTAGCATATTGTCAATATAATCACAATCTCACTTATACCTACCCTACCTGCAGTTCATCATCATCATGTCTTCTTCTATCCCCTCAACTCAGCAAGCTGTAGTCCTCCCTGCGAAACGCAAACCCTTCACATCCCAAACCGTCCCAGTTCATCTTCCATCACCAGGAGAAGTCCTCGTCCGTGTCGCCTGGACTTCTTCAACGCCCCTCGATCTTCACCGTGCTGATGGCGGTCTTCTCATCCCAGAGTACCCATCTCAAATGGGAAGCGGTGGCGCTGCTGGAAAAGTCGTCGCTGTTGGAGATGGTGGTGATCTCAAGGGCTTGAGTATCGGCGATCGGGTCGTAGCTTTTGCTTTTCATGGTGGAAAGGAGGCGAACCACCAGGAGTACATCACTATTCCTGCGTATCTCGCCTCAAAAATACCAGACAACATCTCATATCAAGACGCTGTGACAGTCTCGGTAAATTTAGTCACCGTATTCCACACTCTTACTGCAGATTTGGAATTGGAGCTTCCTTGGCCTGTGCCTGAGAACTACACTCCTGAGCAAGCCGATAGCCCGATTCTCATCTGGGGTGCTTCCAGCAGCGTGGGCATGTATGCTCTCCAGGTCTTCAAACACTGGGGCTTTAAGAATCTCCTCGCTGTTGCTAGCCAAAAGCAGCACGATTATCTTCGAAGCATCGGCGCGACTCGGACTTTTGACTATCGCAGGGACGATGTTGTCGATCAGATCCTCAAGTCCATCGAGAACAAGCCAGGGCCTAAGCTGCCCTATATCATTGACTGTATCGGTTCACTCGAGGGCACCCTGAGGCCCTTGACAAGGATTGCTCAACCCGAAAGCATTGTGGCAGTTATGCTTCCTGTTATCCTCAAAGATGCCACTGTGGATGAGGAGCCAGAATACGAGATGGATGTCGGCAAGGTCTTAATTGGAGAATGGGCTGATGGCGTTGAAGTTCGAGGTGTTCGTACTCATTTTTATCTTTCTGTAAGTCACCCTGACCGCTTTCACAAAAGTGCGTCTCTAACTGGAAACAGAACGAGTACTTCAAGCAAAATCTGCAACCAGAGATCGTACCCAAACTCCTCAAGGACGGCGTCATTACACCTAACAGATATCGTGTTGTGGAAGGATCGTCAGCTGTTGAGAGGGCCCAAAAAGCAGTTGATATCTTGAGAAACAGAGAGGTCAGTGGTGAAAGGCTCATCTGGAGAATCACCGAGGAATATGTATAAGTTTCAAACAAATGTAATCCAAGGATTTGTTTAATAGCGCGCATGACCGTTTCATCATTATATCCCTTGAATAATTACCAGCTCTGGGCAGTCAATTTGTTTCTAAGCCAACCCTGCTCCGTGATATCATAAAAGCTCCCATCAAGCTCAAGAGAGCCGATTCCAGAGTACGTGATCAGTATTGCATAATTGTACCAATATGTTTGTTGATTTTAGTACACACGGCCAACCATGAAGTGGTCAATAGCTTCGGGGCCCATTTGGCTATTCGACAGTTAGCCATAATCAGCATACCCAGGACAAAAACAAGGTTACTCACGCAGTTAGCATTAGTTTTGTAAACTCATCGACATCCTCTGGCTGCGCATGCATCCAGATACCCTTAAAGTCAAGGTTCCGCACCGGGTACTGTGGCTTTGTTTGCCACGCACGGAAGAAAGCCATGGAAGAGTCGGCCTCCCATAGGTATTTCGAGGCTGTGAATTGAAAGTTCGGTGCCATGATTTCACAAGGTGCTATGGAAGAGTTAGTTTAGACCTCGTGCGACATGGAAAGGATGGTTTGCATACGCTCATTGGATTTGAGTATACTGACCATGCATACGAAAGCAAATGCCATGACGATAGTTCGGCGTATACTTTCGGCGAGTAACCAAGCCTATGAAAACATTAGTAAATATCCTGCATGCAAAGTGAACCTTGTCCAACAACTTACCTCCCAGCTTTCTGGTGGCGACTCCTTCAATATGGTAGCAGCTGGCTCGTCCCCGATTTTCAGCTCTTCCTCGAGCTCCTTAAGCGCAAACATCCATGCCATAAACTGTGACATCTCACGTTCACTCGTTGCCCTCATCGTCACGTCGCCGTCAAACATACGTATGGAGTCCAACACAACCATGGCCTGTACCCTAGCCAACTTCTCCGCCGGCGTTGAAGCGCCCTCGCCCTCGCGGTGGATGTCCTTGGCCATGTCAGCGATGAGCTTGAAAACCCATCCCTTGTTCTCTGGCGTGCGTGCAGAGTACGCGGATGCCACTGAGAAGGCTGCCATTAGTGTTTTTGGGAGGTTGGAGCCGTAGAGACGAGGATGGATAAAGGGGAGACGACGGGTCTTTGCAAAGTCGCGGTATAGATTGGTAATGGCATCGACGGTGTATCCGACGCGAGAGCGAGGATCATACACATCCAGGGGGTTAAAATCTGACATGCAGGGTTCTATGCTTTCAAAAATAGCTAGATCACGAATGACGACCTGTGTTGTGGGCATAGATGGTATGGAAGGTATGCCCAGTTTGTTGTTGCTGCTGATGCCATAGTCACCCAGACTCCATAGCTCAGAACCAACAGATGTGTCGTTGGCCATGAGATGGTCTATGATGGAGAAGTCAAGGGGAGAGTCGAGATCTATCGTCGAGGTGGTGGTGACTCTATCAAGGCTGTCTGGTGAGGTGTTGCTGGCGCTAGAATGTGTTGCTGTTCCTCCTAAGTTGTTTATATCAAAGCCCATATCAAAGTCAGGGACGTCGTTCAAGGAGTCCGCGATGCATATATCGTCGTCGTGGAAGCTTGTACCTGGCGGCAACCTCTGATAAACGCAGTCGAGGCCTTTTGCCGCACAACGGGTGCACCGGGGCGTCTTCTTGTCGCACTTGCGCTTCCCTCTCACGCAGGCATTGCAGCTCTTTTGTCTTGAAGCAGCTGCTCTGTCCATCTTGCGGGCAGTCAATGGGCTGAATGAATCCATGGTATATATGTCAAGCGTGAGTGAAGTGTGAGAAAGCAGAATGAGAAGAGCGGAGAGACTTGAACAATTCCGACGGACTTGATCTTGACAAGGTCGGAGAAGGAAAAGAGGAATCTCGATTTCGCAGGCCAACAATGGAAACTTGAAATACAGTGCAACTAATAATTAAAGTACAGAAAAAGGGCCCCTTTTGTTAGTACTAATGTAGATATGGCTTACACTAGAGACTTCAACTCAGTAAGCACTTGCACTTGCCATCTCGTCTCGCAGACCAAATCGGGGACTTTTCTTCTACGGGGCCTTCGCAAACTCCGCAACTCCGCAACTCTTACTCCGCTCAAGTTTCCGCTTCCCGGGGCCCATCCACATCATCCCCAGCCGGACAGTAATTGATAGTCCGGCTCCGAGTTTATAGGAGTGAATGTGCTTCTTCTAATCATGTTCTATTCCTTTTACATATATATATATCAGATTCAACTTATTTTATCAGAATTATTGAGTCCTGATCATAAAATCATGTCTTAAACCTGGTTTATTTGTTCTCAAACAACACAATAATTCAAGTCATTCTTCAGCACAATCGCTTCCCGTATCCTCGCAAAATGGGTATATACGCCTTACAACACCTTCACGCCATTCTCCCGTCCCCCGTGCCTTCTTTTTGAGCTCAAAATCCCAGGGCAATTGTCCCGGCCCGTTCCACTATACCCGACCCTTGCCTTCCTGTACCTACCATTAAGTGACCTGCCCATCCCAAAAAGAAAAGAAGAAAGAAAGAGACGAAAGAGACAACTCCTGATATCGGAGTCTACAGTGGGCCCATAAAGCTGTAGATCCCAAGATTGAAGCGGATGATGACACAGGAAAAAGTGAGTGCCTGGTCTGCCCGCCGTATTGATATAAGGAAGAAATAAAACAAACGAAGTTAAAGCAAGTCTAATGCCTTGAGGTATCACCGGGTCGAAACCAACGATGGTTGAGCCGAGTCTGTACTCTTCATAATTGTAACCCCAAGGCTGATGTGTTGCCCCAGTTGTCATAACTTTTTCTTTTACCGTCATTCATTCGTAAACCGGGCTCAAACAATTGAAAGATAAAAAGAAGAAGAAAAGATGTTGGGTATACGAACTTCAGAATCTCTCCTGACGATATCCATTACTTTGGGGGTTTTCGTACTGAACACCAGTCATTGAATCTGGTCCGTTGGGCATATTGTTGCTCAGGGACCGGATAGGTGGCAGCTCTGGCCCATTCGAGCTGGCGTAACGTTCCGTTTGATAAGTCGTAGAGGGAGGTCCAGAAGCTGGCGTTGGTGCTGAAGATGGAGATCCTCTAAGCTGGGTGTTTTCCGCCCGCAGCCCATGAACTTCCCGGCGGAGAATTTCATTCTCCGCTGCCGCCGAGTTGTAGTGATTTTGGAGCAGCCTGATATGTTCCTGCTGCTTCTGGTGCTCGGCGATGGCTGTAGCTTGTGTCAGTAACATGCTTCTCCTTCCAACAGCACAACCACTAACCTTTTGTCAATATTTCCCACTTGGAGGCCTTGGAGCCTCGCTCCTGCGGCATAAGATCACGAAGCTGGTCAAACAATTCCTTCATTTCCGTTCTCCTCTTGCGCTCCGCGAGCTTGTGGCTGACTCTCAATTCCGGAGTTCTACTATAGGGCTGTGATCCTGTAGGCCCATTCCCTTCCTCCGCCTGGAGGTCACTCAGTTGCTTGTGTTGCATAGAGTGGTGATGGACAGGTAGGAAGTCCGAGGCACTGGACATGCGAGAGTACTCACTCTCCAGTCTTAGTTGACCAGCGGGCAGGCGCGACTCGGTCGTGAACTGGCTGCTCGCGATCGACTCGGTAACGCTGCTGCGCCTTGAGTCAGTGAACGTAAGATCACCGCCGACCCTTTGAATCTCCTCTTCAGGGAAAGCCCATGCTTGACCTTTGGTGGGTTCTGCTGCTCGGGCAATGTGCCCCGTTGCTGGACCGGTAATAGCAGGCGCCGTCTTAACAGTCTTGGTCTCAGGATTTCGCTCTGCGTTGGGTTGGTAGCCATTGGAGATTCGATTAGATAAGAGGTGGGGATTCCGTTGGCTGTGAAGGGTGTTTTGTATCGAGCTAGTTGAGTGATTGTTGGAGGCGTAGGGAGAGTTGTTGCCAAGACGCATATCACTGAAGTTTTGGTTGATGCGACTGTCGACACTTTCCCGCCTCAGCGCAGCCATTCCTGGTGTCAACGTGTCGCCAATTGTATGACCGGTACCGTTGGATTCGATTGACGTGGGTCGGTCACGACATGGATCGAGGCTGCCGGGCGGGTTGGGGGATACGATCGCGGCGACGCTCATGTTAGTTGCTGGCGGCGATATAGCTCCCTGGGGGACCATGTTGGAAGTAATCGGCGAAGGGGTCTTATCGTGCGACGAAGACTGGTAGCCAGAACCGCTTGGGCTGAGACCGTTTACATTAAAAGAGGCAGCAGATGTGTCTGGATAGTTCTGGTCAGTGGTAGAACGAGGGTATTTAGACGGGTAGCAATGAGCAGCATACGCTTACTGGAGGCGTCTCCGTTGGAGTAGAACCCCGAATCCCGCGTGTGAGGAGGGCCGTTTGGGATGTGGCCTGGAGCGTGGTCGCTATTGAGAATGTTGTTGAGACCGGCCGCCTTGGAATTAGGTGGGCGTTGTTGGTTGTGGCCGTCCATGACTATGACTGTTGGAGAGTCGGTCGATATCAGGGATGTCGCGTACGCAGTCGAGTCGAGTCGATCAAGTCACAAGTGAGCCCCCACAAAGTCCCCTGAGAAACGAAGCCGACAATCGGTAACTTTAACACAATTCGATTGTTTGCCCGCGCTTACGGCGAGGCCGGTATAGGAGTACAGTCGCAGGAACCAGGCAAGAGGTGTCGGACAACAAGACAAAGCCCAGATTGCAATTGAGCCTAACTGAAATTGTATCGAGTTTGCAGCTGACAGGACGGATGCGACAACGCGAGGTCGGACGGATTCAAGTCGAGAAATTACTGCCGTGTCAGAGCATAAGCCCCAAAGATGGATTGACAAAGGGAACGTCAATAAGGCCAGGTGCGATATAATGCGTGGGTAGATTAGATAGATGGCAGGTAAATTTGTGAGAGAAAGGAAAGAAAGTGGACTTGAAGAGGGAAAAGTGCACACGAGACTGACCCTGGCGAAAGTGACAGACGGGGATGAATGGATGGCACTAGTCAAGGTCTATACAGGGAAGAAAGAGCCCGGGGAAGACTGGAGCCCCATCAGTACCTAAACCTGCCCGCACCAAATACTACTCTACCTGAGTTAGCAGGTACATAGATGCTGAACCTAGTAGTAGTGGATGCATGTACTCGAGACTTACAGTTTAGGTACTTGCACTGCAACGAGCGAGGAAGAAAAGGCTGGTCTAAACTGGACTTAACTGAGTCGAGAAAAGCACTATGGTTCCAAGATTAAAAGGGTCTTGCAAGCAAACAATAGCCAACTGAGAGATGAGGGAAGAAGGGAAGACAGCAGATTGTTCATCTAAGCTATACAGAGTATGATAAATCAATCGGTCAGAAATCAGGAACATCGAAATGACATGCGTTCAAAGCCTAGTCCCTCCCTCCCAGCACAAATGGTAGACCTCCATGTCTCAAAACCTCTCATCCCATGGATCACAGCACGCTGAAATGGTCCCCCTGCACTTGCATACGGTAAGCAACGCTTAAAATCAGCCCCAAAGCAGGGGAGCAAAGGAACATTCATCTGAAGCAGACAAGCACAGGCACATAGTATGTAGACAAGGAGCGGCCGGCCTTTGCTTTGGCTTTGGCTCCAGGTTTCGTCCAGGTCAGGTCAGGCCAGCATCTACATACAGCCTGGGTAGGTAATAGGGCTCCTTGGTAGATGTTGCATCCGCCTCCAGTCGGCATCATTGAAACAGTGTTACGGCACTTGAAAGTCAATCCGCAATCCTTGCTTTTCGAGACAGAGGTACGTATCTGTACTTATGCAAGCTGTGCACCGAACCTCGTGCCGTGCTCAGGGGGTTTTGTACATAAGTTGACAACCTCGGAGAACAGCAGTTTCGACGGGTCGTTCCTCGTAAAAAGCAACGCTGTGGCTACAGTCTACGACTATTGGGTCATCGGGTTGTTTCCCGCTGTTTACTTGCCTATCGCTGTCTTGCAACAGGTACCTAGTTATCTACCAAGACAATTGAACGTTCTGGCACATCTCATGACGCAAGTATCAAAGAGTGTTCAAGGCTTAAGCCAAAGATTTCGTCCAAGCCAAGTCGCGGTGCAAAGTATGTATAGTCGACTCGCGGCGCTTGTAGCCCCCACTATCGCCTCGGCCCATGTGGTCGAGTACAGTACATTGCATCTAATAATGGAACGCCAGGCGCTGTTGTAGGGAGTGTTGAAAAGCCTTACTGTAGCAGGGGTGCAAGGTGTTCAGTGGTCCATCGAGTAACGTAGCGTCAGAAGAAGCCACCCTTAAGTTCAAGATCTCCTCTCTTCATTCCCCTCTAGGTCCCCCGAAAACCTTGTTTTTGCCATTGTCGAAAGCTCGTGGAGGTGCGGAGAGCTTGGGGATCGTAGAGGCGTAAGTGGAATTGAATGCCATGTGGTTGCCGAGTATCGAGGTCTGAGCATCCATGCGGCATTCGCTACCCACTCAAGTCGTGACGGCTTGTCAGCTATATTTGTCTCAAAGCGAACAGGCGGCAAAACGCCTGTTCTTTGTTCTGCCCAGCCATACATCAAGACGACCTGTCGGGAAGAGATATCCATTTGACCAATAAGTTCGCTGGCTTGAACCGTCGCTGTAGCTGGCTGGACTGTACCGCATCAAGAGTGCTAAACCACCAAAACAGTCAGACTGTGCCAGCCAACGAACAAGTCTAACTCTAAAGGAGCACCTTTATACCAGTGTGAATTATGTTGGGAAGGCAAAACACAAGGCTTCATGATAATGCTGACCCTGTGCTTTTGTTTTGTTTGTACAGAGTAACCAGTGCCCCTGTAAACCTGGTTCAGAATCAATAGTTACCTTACCAGCCGGCCGGCCACGATATGGAATGCGATCATAGGTAGATGCCTGTTGCTCACTAACCGCTGGGGACATTAGCTGCATCTGTTGGTGACTTCTGATTTACAGATTTCTGACATTGTCCAAGTTCGACCAAACCTTTATGCTTCAGTATTGCTTGTTGGAGGGCAGATATTGTTTAGGCCATTGGAGGGTTATGTAGTGTTTCCAGCTTGTTGGGCATGTTCCTGGCTTCATAGGTTGAGAAGTAGAATGCAGTGTGAACTCTCCTGGGGTCTGAACCCGCTGGGCATGATTCTCTGGGGTCTGCCGTGCTATGCTGCTAACTGAAGCCTACCAGTCAACCAGTAGTTACGTGAACGCGGCGATGAATCGTGTGAGGGGATGGCTTACACCAAGCCAGGGCGCCTCGTGCGCCGTCACTAGTGTGTCCATAACCCTGTCAGAAGTCAGTTCTCGGGCCATGCTACAGTGACCAGGGTCTTAAAAACCCATGTTGAGATTGGTTCAATTTGTCTTTCTCCCGCCTCGCCCCCAAAGCTAGCCCCATCATGGTTGGGCGAACCAGAAGTGGAGCGACCAACATCCCAGCACCACATGCGCGATCTTCCGCAGCCACGTGAGAATCATCTTTCAGAGCAGAACGTGCCGCAGATCGATTGGTCCACCAATAAGTCTCTGCCCAGTGTCGTAGACAATATCCGTACATACACGGCATTGGCATGTAGCGTGCCCGCGTCCTTCTTCCTCTATCAGAGGACGATCCTGATGCGCATTTCAGTGGAGATAGATACCCAGAGCATTCTGAGGCTTGCGTAATGCCATGTGGCAGACAAAGTAGCCCAGGTACGCCGAACCTTGTAGATCCCGCTGGGATAGTTCGCGCTTGGTGATGTCGTTCCCAGATAGGTAGGTAGGTAGGTATACTGTTTGTGCGCACAGTACTTGTCATGCTCGAATTTCCCAAACGTTACCACCTTGAAACAATCGGCTGGAATTGTGTAGGTACAAAAGCTCGTCAATCTTTGCTGCTTGTGTCTAGCAGGCGCTTGTAGAGTCTATGCTGCCGACAGACACGTGCGCGAGTGTGTGGGGTGTAGCTAGCCACTGTGCCAAAGATCTAGCCGCTCTGGGCTCTAGGGGGGACCGGTACGATGAGGAGCGTTGATCTTGATGAGATAGCTGGGCCAATCGACCAGGGTGTTCATTGCGATGCAGCGTTGACAGAAGCAATGAGTGCAACTGGGGAAAATACCGTACTAGATACCCAGCGTTTACTTGTACTTTTGAAAGGGCAAACAATGTGCTTGAGTACGAGCAAGTAGATAAAGTTGAGTTGCTGAGAACTATAGAAGAAGTCAAAGCAGGAAATGGCTTTTGTTATTTCTTCCCTGGAGTTATTGCCAGCTGGGTACGGATACAGTCTACTAACCCAAGTAGGTAGTTGTTTTGAGGGTTCCTTCCTTGTTCACATTGATTGCTATTCAAACTTACCCAGGTACCTACTGAGGTAGGTACCAACCACTATTGGTATCACATCTTGTCCCCGCCTGCTAGCCTCCCTTGTAGCCGCCTTGTGTGTGTTAATCAATAAACTCAACATCAATTTATCAATATTTCCAGCATTGCTTCCGCCTAGCTACAAGATTCAGCCCATGCACCTCGTCGCCTCAGCCTGGCCTTCTGTCAGTTCAGCCTGCTAGTATTGCCAAATTGCCATTCGCCCATTTCCTATCACGGTAATCCCAAGTTTGGACCGTCAAACCAACCAACAACTCGTCTCATCCTGCCACGCGAGTGTCTTTGGATCTATATCAGTGAAACCCACACGCCTCGCGTTATGAGCCCAAGGTAGCGCATGCGGTCCTGGGACAGGACAGGACAGCGCAGGGCAGGGCAAGCAAGGGGCTACCTGGGTATGTACCTCACCTGGACCAGTAGTAAGTAGTACCGTTAAGTAGTACGACTAAACTAATAGTACAGAGTACAACGCTGTTCTGTGTTGTTGAACAAAGATCCCTTTCTGTGGGTTTTCGCGCCAACCCCGAATTGAGAAATGTCAACCATGCCCGGCTTGCTTGTCCTTTCGGGGGATTTCTCCTGAAGATCCTTTCTCTCGCCCACGGCTTGAAGAAAAATGCCGATCACTACTCTTACATATTTCCCGTCGGCTCGTGGCTACAGGGTATTAGCGAAAATAAGTTTCTATGCCTCAGCACCTCTTATCGCGGACTACCTATTTCTCTAATGATTAATCCGTTCTACGATTACTGTCTCTACATCTTCTCGACAACACGGTTTGGTCGGCGTTCAAGTTGTAAATATTACCGCACCGTTCTGGTGTCGTTATGCGCACATGAAAGTCGAGTTCGAAGCCCAACCTAACGGTAATCGCATTGTACAGTGAGTGTTCTGCCATTTCATCACTTGCGCGATCGGAACAAGCCGAGGTCCTGTCTGGCAGTTCCCTTGATGTGACGGTACAGTCATCAAAGAAAACCAGTGCCCTGATGCTGCACGCCAATTAAACTTGTGTGTATGAAATATCCTTCAGACTAACGTTACTAAGTAGGCCAGTGCTGACAATGTCTGGATACTCGGTGCATTTTAACTCATCAACAGACTAGCAATACCGATGGGTTTCCTTCGTGGATCTCGATGGTGCTCTAGCAATGACAAGTAATCTGTGCCAGAAAACTGGTACTACAACAAGTGCCGGTATGGTGATTGTGATGACCGCCATACCACACTCCTTTGGCTTGACAGTGGTGATACAATCAGTCATGCATCATCACGTCAATTCGCTTACCACTGGCTACACACTGCGTCACCGAACTGAATCAAATTAATCATTGCGCGAAGATGGCACTTCTGTCGGACTGTCTGCCGCTCTTTTGACCTCTGTGCGTTTCTATCAGTCCTGCACATTGCATAATAGCAAGGAGGCGGGGCAATAAGAGAGCCATTGCTTTGCTACTGTGCCTCAAACTTGGGGACTCAAAGCACCCGTGCAGGCTTGCTTAATTACCACCAAATAAGAGAGAGCCTTCTTATGCTGGGCTTACTGCCACTGACACACTCCATCCTCACTCACAGCGGGGAGTCGGCTCTTTGGACCGAACACTCTTTTTGTTGACGTGAACCCCTCGCCAACAGGAATCAAATCTGTTTCTATTACAAAATATATTGACTCATAGTCATGGTGAATAGGACAGGGTCGTGCAGTATTGGACCCAACCGTTTGGTAAAACCTACCAATCTTGAAAAAACTAAAGGACTACTAGCTACCTAATAGAGTTGGAACTAATGGATAACTTGTAGAACTGCAAACTACGGTATGTTTCAAAGTCATCTTCTGAATTATTTATTCAACCTCTACTCGAGGAAGGAAAAATCTTATCAAGGATAGGTGGGATTTGTCTTGCAATATGACAATGGGTGATGAAGTCAATCAGCAGTCCGACGACTTTCGGCCGATTGAGAAAAGGACAGGGGTTGATGACCAATGATTGACAGAATATCACATCTCAACTGATACATTTATGCCGAAATTGAAGTGAGAACCTGAGGTTGCTTTACATCTCAGCTGAACCGGTCTCGTATCAATCAATATCTTGTCTGGCGGCCGGTTGGTGTTGATCTAGGAAGAAGCATCCGAGTCACGCCCTCGGTTGGTTTATGGAGTTCTCATTAAACTCGAATCTATGGATGACAGGAGGCCTGTCACTAGTTCCTCACCGTTAGCATCTCATCTTTCGGTAGATGTCTGGGTTCGCTATACAGTACTGGTCCATCGGTGTCTGGTTGGTAATGTCATCAACCGTCAACCAAGAAGAGAAACAACAGCAATTACCGTCCACATTGACATCCACACCCACTACGCCGCTGCCCGGATCTAAGACGACGCACCGCACAGTACAAAGTCATGTCTCATATCTTCGGGTACATACAGCGGTCGACAAGCTGATACCGTCACTCCTGCGCCTCGATCAAGCACTCACCCGCATCGAGTCGACGGCCCTTAAGTCCATAGTTCAACGCCCTCCGTCCCCACCAACATACCAAAGGAGCCACATGCTTCCCACCGCCACTAAGAAAACAGCAAAGACAGCCGCTGTTCTACCTACTTGAGCCTCCAGATAGCCTGGCCTTACTTGTGGGACTAAGGCCAAGCGAATCGGATTATTCACTCGGTGGCTGTCTTTCGCAACTCATGTGCTCAGCACCAAGGGAGAATATCGTAACTCTGTAGGATCAGGCCAGAACATGACGCCCTCCGGCACGGTTGCATCTTCGATAACCTGAATTTTGATAAAATAACTCGGGCCATATCCCTCCCCAGTCATTACTTACTTATATCGGTCTCTTGACCAGCCCAATCACGTCAGTCAAGTGCCTGGAAGACGATGTCATCGACTCTGTGTCTTACTCTTCTGTTGCTTCTGTCAATATCTCGGAATCTAAATCTTGGCTCTCCCCTCTCGACTTGTCTTCCCCTTGCATATTTCAGCTCCATTTTCCCACATTGGATAAGAGAATCCAATAGTTTCACGCTGTCGCTTGTCTGAAGCAGCATGCACATCCGTGCGGAACGGTATTTGCTGGTTCTGTAGCGGCTGCATGGGTTGAGTCTCTTTTGGGCGAGACATGCGTTCGACAGTGCACTTTACTCATTACGGCTTGGTCTGCCCTGTCCTGTAGCCTGGAATTAGCCAACTGGCCATCAGTGATCTCAAGATACCCGAGAGATCTTCGCCGGAAACCTACTCAACCTCCACACTGCATCGGCAGCTCGGCTAGTGGCAAAGAACGACGAGAGAGATGAGAGTTTACCCCATCGGCGAAGGGTCTTCCCCCAGGAAAAAAGAAGAAGGGAGAAAAGCTTACTTGAGATGTGCTGGTGATTCGAGTAAGTCTGCCAGTCTCTTCAGAATTTACATCAACGGCAGGTCGTCGCGGCCGGCAACTGGGATAATAACAATGCCCACAAGATGTTGAAATATTAGAGGGTCCAGACGCTCAAAATTGCCTTTCACCCCATCTGAGTCATAATCCATCAGACTAACAAGCTTCGCTGAATCGCCAATAGCTTAGCAGAGTGGGTTTTGTTAGTGAGAATTTCAGGTCGAGATGTTCTTCTTTCCTTTGCTTATTCCCCCAGCACTTGTTTGTCATGTCAAGACTTATGCGAAGTTAGTCAATAGTTTAAGCCTCAAGGGTTGAATCCGTTGGCGCCAGTTTCATTTCCGTAATAATCATGGTCTAGACTGCGTGTTTCTTGCTCGGCCTTCTCCTAGGTTCGAAGCCAAGACGGTCGAAGGCATTGTAGCATGTACTTTTTCGTTTCTATGATATCCAATGAAAGAGAATAACTCGAACTGGACTGACTGATACATCAGAAAGAACACCACCAGCAGATACCCTCTTTGCATACAGGCATACTATAGGCAGTTACACGCAACAGTGACCGCTTCTTGGCACAGTGGATATCGATAGGTCCTCGGTGTTGTCATACCAGGGGATAATTGACGTGACATAATTATCTGCAGTCTTATTTTAATACGCATGTATATGTGAACGAGCCCGGAGACAACTGTATGCCATAGGGTATCGTTGCTCCAGGATTGACGCATCTGTGCTGTACAATATCCTTCCAGGACCATGCATGTCTCTGAAGTGCAACATCTCAACGGATCCATATCCTGACACATACCCGCTGCAAACACAACATAACTGCCCCCTTGTCTTCCACGATACAGACCGCTTCTTTATGTAAGTCATTTCATTAAATAAAAATAAGAATCCTGCAGCTTTAAAATTCAAACTCTGGTCTGAACACGTCTGGATCTACGCCCGCAATGGTCTTCTCCGCCAGATCCCGCCGGCCCATCTGTGTAAAGACACGTCTGAGGGTGTCATATAAGGTGCTGCTCCTGTTCTGCGCCGACATACGGTCAAGTGTCTCATCGACCCCAGAAGCGTTATCGCCCAGAATCTCGTATGCTTTGCTGCGGCCCGACTTCTCAATAGCCTTGTGCATCTCCAATGCGGCCAGGAAGTGACAGGCAGCTTCGTGGTGGCAGTGGATGTTGATGCAGCTGACACCCAGGTTGTAACGAGCGCGCACGAAATTAGGAGCCATGGCGAGCGCCTCTTGGTATGCCGCAATGGCTTCCTCGGAACGTCCGCTGTTGGCCAGCGTAGCGCCAAGACGGTTCCAGAGGAGATGGAGCTGTTCTTGCTGGTTGGACGTACCAGCTTCCGAGGAATGAAGAGCTGACTGGAAGCAATCGACTGCCTTGTCATAATCCTCTGCACCGTAGAAAAGAACACCAAGGCCAACTTGTACGTCAGGGTCCATATGCTCGCCGTCGGGGCTCAGCTGTGCCGCTTTGATGAAAAGATTTGTCACTTTGTCATGCAGCTGTTGGCGGTCTGTGAAGCCCATTTCTGCGGGAGGATGCAGGTCCTTGGGGTTAAGAATATTAGGGTATTTGACTGACAACCATCGTTCAAGGGTTCGGTATGCGGTGCTGTCGTAACCTTCGTTAGTATACGATACAGCCAAACCCATCAAGGCTGCTAGGTTGTTAGGATCCTGCTTGAGCGCTTGTTCAAGAGCTCGGATAGCTGCCGTTTCCTTCTCGTTCTGTGCCTGAGCCGTTCCCAAGTATACCCAGGCCTCGGTGTGGTCGGGGTTTTGTTGAACAGCGGACTCAAAGGCCAGGGCAGCCAGAGAAAGATTACCACCTTCTTTCATAATGCGCACGCCCTCCTCGAAAGCGTTCTTTTCATCGCGGAAGAAGTTGTCTTGTTCGAACAAATAGGTTTCCACGGCCGGGTCACCGAGGCGGCCCCAGTCGCCCATACCTTCGAAATCGGGCATCATGTTGTTGTTCCATTCGCTGTCGAACTGGTCAAAGTCTTGTCTAGCAGCAGACGTCTCAGCTTGTATTCCTTTCCAAATAGATTCAAAATCACCGTACTCATTGGTTTCGGACGTCAAGCCTTTGTCCATTTCATTGAGCTCACGCTCTGCAACATTTGCCTCTTCTTGTTCCTTGGCATTGTCTTGGAGCTCCATCGAAGCAAATTGCTCCTCCCACTTGTGGTCATCAAGTTCCACGAGCCGGCCCTTACCCTTAGCATCTTGCTGCTGTGGTTGGTGTTGCTGCATAGGCTGCTGGTTCTGGTACATTGGCTGGAACATGGGAGAGTAGCCCATCGGTCGGTTCATCATGCCCCCCATCATGGGTCGTTGTTGGTTCATCTGGCTGGAAACGTTGCTCTGCATGGGGCTTGCTCTCGCCGAGGAACCTTGTGCGTTAAGCTGTTGGAATCGGGCAAACTCGTCAGCGTTGAAATGCGCCTGTGCAGCAGAAGGCGGCTGGAAAGCCGATTCCATCGCTGGCTGGCCGTTGAAGTCGTGCGCCCATGTTGGCGACGCTGAGCTAGCTCGCATATGGGACTGGGCTGGGTTAAGAGGGCCCATCTGGCCCGGCTGCATGGGGAATTCCTGCTGAAGGCTCGGGCCCTGGTTGAGAAATCCATTCATCATCTACAGCATCAAAACATATGTATTAGTAATAGGTTCATCGGCCCTGTGTAAGGGCATACCTCATCTTGAGGCGCATTCGCGCTCTGGCTGCGAAACCCATTGAGTTGTCCACCAGGGCCTCGACCAACAAGGCGGTCTTGCTGAAGGGTCCTATCGTTTTGAGTATGCTTGTGAAGCTGGCTAAGAGGGTTTCCAGATGTCGAACATTCAGCGCCACCCATAAACGACATGATGATTGGCGATATATGTATTGCTTTTATAATTTCGGGATTATCGGCGCGAGGGAAGAGATGATGAAATTTTCAGATTGATGGCGATGCTTGCTTTATTGAGGAGAATAACAAATACGAGGCGTAGTTTACAGGTCGAAGTTGGTCCAACTCCTACCATGATCTAGCGAAACCAGACAAGATGCCTGCGTGAGTATGGCGGGGAAAATACCGAGGCTCCGCCGTTCTCATTGCCTTTATCGGTACCACTTGCCGATTGGAGTAACGGTACACGTGACTGCGGGGTGAGAAAGAACAGGAGTATCTCACCGAAAAGAGACCTTTCTTCTCGGTGAGACGGTGAGTAGCGCATGCTTTATCGATAAGAACATTTTTTTCTTGCGCTCCTTCTCAAGTCTCAAGTTTGAAGTCAACCTCCATCCCATTGAAGCATCACCACCATTATCACGCTACATTCAATACCACAAAGCGCCAAGATGCTCCGTCAAGTGTATGTCTATTTTTCTTTCGCTGACAACCGTTTCTTCGATATACTAACATTCATAAAGCAAACCTCGTAATGCGCGTTCAAAGCGTGCGCTTGACAAGCGCGAACCCAAGGCCAACGAAAACCCTAAGACATGCCTTTTCCTCCGCGGAACATCGTGCTCGCAGATTGTCCAGGATGCCCTTAACGACCTTCACCAAATGAGGCAGCCACTTGCTAAGAAATTTACAAAAAAAAACGCTATCCACCCATTTGACGATGCCGCTTCGCTCGAGTTTTTCTCCGAGAAGAACGACGCCAGTCTGCTTGTCTTCGGCAGCAGCCAGAAGAAGCGACCCCATACTCTGACTCTCGTTCGTACGTTTGGATACAAGCTTCTAGACATGCTTGAACTCTACCTCGACCCCGAGAGCTTCCGAACCATTGCCCAGTTCAAGACTAAGAAGTTTGCTATCGGTCTGCGACCCATGATTTTGTTTGCCGGAACCGCCTTCGAAAGCCCTGTCAGCAACGAATTCACTCTTGCCAAGAGCATGTTTTTGGACTTCTTCAAGGGTGAACCAGCAGATAAAATAGATGTTGAGGGTCTTCAGTACATTATTTCCATCAGCGCTGAGGACAGCACTGGCGACGGCGATGCCAAACCTGCGATCCACCTGCGAGTCTACACCATCAACACTAAGCGATCTGGCCAGCGTCTTCCACGTGTCGAGGTTGAGGAGATTGGCCCACGTATGGACTTCCGTATCGGTCGTGTCCGAGAACCCGATGAGTCGATGCTCAAGGAGGCCCTGAAGACGCCTCGCGGCCTCGAGGAGCGCACCAAAAAGAACATCACGACTGACTCTATGGGTGACAAGATTGGTCGCGTGCACTTGGGCAAGCAGGATCTCAGCGAGTTGCAGCTCCGCAAGATGAAGGGTCTGAAGCGAAGTCGAAAGGACGCCGAAGGTGTGGCGGACGTTGTCGGAGAGAAGGAGGAGGAGACCAAGAGGATAAAGCAGTAGTAGGCACACCGCATTGCAGGCTCGGAGTTGGGCGTCTTGGAAAAGGTCCCAGGGAGACCATATCAATAATTGATTTAATGAGATAAATCCCGTAGACATGATGAGCATTATTGTCTTCCTCGTACCTCAAACCGCCCGTTCTCGTTATTCTGCTATCTCATCCTTGACTTGATAGCCAATGCATGTGTAGTGATCTTGAGCAATGTTGAGCATAGTACGGAGTGGTCTGACATTGCGACCTATCTCTGAACATTGTTTTACCATACAAGTAATAAGGATGGATGGACTGTGAACCACATTTATCTATTGCTATCAAGACATCATTATGTACTAAATTATGGCAAAGGCCAAAGAAGCCGACTAACTTGGCTCCTTCTGGCATCCGAAGTAGACTAAAAAGGCTACAAGCTCAACCGTATGCGCTTGGGCTTTCTGTCTAATCGTGCTGTTTCCCACTCCAATCCTATCCTCCAACTCATACGATTCATAGTCGATCATAGACTTAATAGTATGAAGAGAGATAAAACAAGATGGGCCTTATCAATGCCGGGCAGGGAATGCCCAAGCTTATTTCTGCTTCATGCAACAATACAAACAACTTGAGTTGACTTGGGGCACAAAATCGTTGCCCAGATTGTATCTGAAAGTATTCCACCTTAGTATCTCAGTTCGATCCGTGTTAGGCCATTGGTAAGGAGACAGTCGTTATTCATCAAATGTATAAAATAAAGTCGGGCACGCTTCTTGATCGTGTCTTGGAATAGAAAAATTACCAAATTGACAAAGGTCGTATTGAAACTGATCGCCGACAAAATGGAAAGAGCCTCGAGACCAGCTCTCAAGCCCAGGGTCCCGCCGTTGTGGTTACGTGCAATTGTCAAGCCCCCTTAGTCGGGTGAATCAGGCACAATAAGATCCTCATCTGCAATAGGAATGGGGGGTTGCGCATGCTGATGTAGCATTTCAGCAAATATCTCAATATGCTGCGTCATGGATCCAAGAACATTCTGCTGCTCTGGTGCTTGTTCTTCCAGTTCGGTGCCCCAAATATCTTGCGGTATGGAACTGCCGTCTAACAAGGCAATCCTTATTGGCCATTCAAGGTGACGCCACCATTTCGATCCCGGCTCGAATAAGCTGACCAGTCCCATAACCTCGCGGCGGGCAACATCTTGCAACCACCAGACGTTATCCATTCGCTTCAATAAGGCAAAGAAGCAAGCCAGAATGGCAAGGGCCCGAGGTCGTCTCGCATCAACAAGATCAACATATCTCTTTGAGACAGTGGCAGGAAACGTAAGGGCAGCGGCTGCGTGGTAATTCTTGTGTGCCCAGTTAAGCACGCTGACAGCGTGCGAGTAAGCCTGGGTAGTTGAGGCAACCAGGCGGGGGTCTTCGTTACTCAACTCAGCAGCCAACCCTTCGAGCATGTGACCGAAGAAAGAGTCGGGCGAGCGTGGGTTAAGATTCAGTTGGAAACTGGGCTGAGAATCAATGACAACTTTGACAATATCGCTGTGGTGAATCCACTGCCAGGAGTTTGCGACCACGGTCTTGACGCCTTGGAAGGCATGGAACCAAGACAACGGGGGCACATACCGACTTGTCGAGTCACCTGGAGCAGCGTCACCGTCATCCTTGACAAAGATTCGGGATGCACTAGCTTGAAAAGCAATCAAAGTTGCTGTGAGGAAGAGAGCCTCCGCGTTCTCAGGCGTAATGCCCGCGCCAAGAGATGCGCCAAAGGCAGAAAGAGAAGAGGCAGAATAGGCATGGGAAGCGCGCACCAATGCTTTGTCGTTCGGCGACATCGAACGCAAATGGAGCGCTGCCACTGACAAGATGGCATCAGCGAGGTAAGTCTTGCCATTGCCAGAGAATGCCATCTGTGGGACAGCGCGCTGCCAGATATCCTCGGCGGCTGGCGAGTTGGTTAGAAGCGTCTTTGAGGTGACGTTGGTGTAATGATGCATCAGACGCAGCTCGAGCATTCTTTCGCCATGATCTATAGTGTTGGTAGACGAGCTTATCGAAGGTTGCGAGTAGACAGAGGTCGGAGGAGAGGGATTTGGTCTCGGCGCTCTTGCTGGACTTGAAGGGGCACGTGGGCGTGTTAACGGGGTCCTTGGAGCAGAATTAAAGCTGATTGTGGGTGCTGGCGATGGAGTAGGTGCGCCGACGCTCTCAGAGCTGGTGTTGGTAGAGATTGCCAGTTCTTCTAGGACATCGGGGTTGCTGAAATCGCAAGGAACACCATGCTTGGCACAGTTGCCGCATCGTGGGTGGACTTCGTCGCACTATAACCGAAAGAGTTTTCGAGTCAGCAAGAGAGCTGATGAGACAGTCTAGGACAAGTCTAGCCATTGCGAAAGGGAGCATGGCCAGATGAAAGATATGCAACGAGGCGCGATGCGCAGAGGATGGAGAAGGCTTACCTTTATCTTCCTATTCTTACACCTCCGGCAGCCGGCGCGAGACTTTTTGTGAGACCGACGAGGCGGCATGATGGCGCAGAATTGAAACGGGAGAAAGAAACAAAAAGATGTTTTCACGTGTTGACTGTCAACAAGCTCCTAAAAAATATATGGAGAGAACCTTGGATCGTGAACAAAATCGAAGCATGGCCGCAGAGGCAGGGGGGCCTCAATTGCGGTTCGCTTTAAGTAAAGGAGAAGGGGACGAGGAAGCAATTGTGGAGAGGTGAGAATTATAAAAAGAATTCCATGACGCGTGTTGAAGATCGAGAGAGGCAAGAATCGTGGTTGAGCACGTTAATTTCTTAGAAGAGAAGGAAAGAATAAAGTTGAGATAGGAAGGACGGAAGGAGCTGGGCTGAGATGGTGGTGGTAGTGGTAGTGGTAGTGGTGGTTGCTTCGCTTGGAAGCAAGTGCGGTGAAGGAGAATCGGGTGTATTGTGATGTGATGGGATGCAAATGAGGGCAGGAGAGTTGCTGCACTGGGTGAGGTGGAGGGGCGGTCCCGTCGGCAGGACACTTAGTGCAGTGCAGTCCCCAGTAATGGATCTGATGGATGGAGAGTTAAAGAGCTAGAGTGCCAAGGGGGGAGGCCTGTAGGCCTGAAAAGGCTTCGAATTTAGCGAATGGAAGCTGTGGAAAGAAGAAAGGCTGCACTGCCACAGCATGAAAACAGGGATCTACGAGTACCTGCCCGCCCTGCAGCATGCCTGCCTGTCAGGGCTGTCGTGTGCTACGCTGTGCTGTACCTGTCTCATCTCATCGCGGGCCGGGAAAGTCGGTGGTTCAGTGGGGGGTTCGGTGGGTTTCGGCGCCGGAGCTTGTCATGACAGGACATGAGTGGAGCCGCAAGATTGACGCTTAGACTTTTTATTAATGGTAATTTCTTTCTTTTACCCAAGGAAACCACGCACTAATAAAGTAGGTGGACTGAGCATAACATCAGAGGGATCAAAATCTTTCGTGGGTTCTGCTCGACACGATAGCAGGCTCACCTTGGAGATAAAAAGAGGGTAGAGACCCTGGGAATAA